GCTCATCCAACAGGGTTTGCACAAGGCACTAGGCGGCAAATCCAAAAAGCCCGAATCCATGAGACTTGAGGATTGGTATGAAATGGATGAAAAGGCTGCTAGTACAATCAGATTGCACTTAACAGATGATGTAGTTAATAACATCATCGACGAAGAGAGTACATGTGGCATTTGGATAAAGTTAGAAAATTTATACATGTCCAAAATGCTGACAAATAAATTGTACCTAAAGAAGCAGTTACATGCGCTACATATGGGTGAAGGTACAAATTTTTTGTCTCATTTAAATGTACTTAATGGACTAATCACGCAGCTAGCAAACCTCAGAGTAAAGATCGAGGATGAAGATAAAGCCATAGTGCTCCTAAACTCGTTGCCATCTTCCAACGATACTTTAGCAACAACCATTTTACATGGTAAGGACTCTATTGAGTTGAAGGATGTCACATCAGCCCTTTTGCTTAATAAGAAGATGAGAAAAAGGCTTGAAAATCACGGACAGGCTCTCATCACGGAAAGTAGAGGCAGAAGTTACCAAAGGAGCTCAAGTAACTATGGTAGATCCGGAGCTCGTGGAAAGTCCAAGGTCCGATCAAAATCGAAGGCCAGAAATTGCTACAATTGCGATCAACCAGGACACTTCGAAAGAGATTGTCCAAATCTAAAAAGGGGCAAAGGGGAAAGCAGCGGCCAGAAGAATGATGACAACACAACTGCCATGGTGCAAAATAATGATGATGTTGTTCTCCTCATAAATGAGGAAGAAGAATGCATGCACTTGGCAGGTATAGAGTCGAAATGGGTGGTTGACACAACAGCATCTTATCATGCTACACCGGTAAGAGATTTTTTTTGCAGATATGTAGCCGGTGATTATGGCAATGTGAAAATGGGTAACACAAGTTTCTCAAAGATTGCGGGGATCGGAGACATTTGCTTAAAAACAAATGTTGACATTAGTGTTGAAAGATGTGCGCCACGTACCTGACTTGCGGATGAACTTGATCTCGGGAATTGCTTTAGACCAAGATGGATATGAGAACTACTTTGAAAATAAAAAATGGAGACTCACCAAAGGGGCATTGGTGATTGCAAAAGGAGTTGCTCGTGGCACGTTATATAGGACAAATGCAGAAATATGCCAAGGTGAATTAAATGCGGCTCACGAAGAAAATTCTGCAGATTTATGGCATAAAAGAATGGGTCATATGAGCGAGAAAGGATTGCAAATTCTTTCCAAAAAGTCACTCATCTTTTTTGCGAAAAGTACAACGATAAAATCGTGTAACTACTGCTTATTTGGTAAACAACATAGAGTCTCATTTAAGACATCATCTGAAAGAAAGTTGAATATACTTGATTTGGTATATTCTGATGTTTGTGGTCCAATGGAGATAGAATCGATAGGAGGTAATAAATACTTTGTTACCTTTATTGATGACGCTTCTCGAAAATTGTGGGTTTATATCTTGAGAACCAAAGATCAGGTGTTTGAAGTATTTCAAAAGTTTCATACTCTGATAAAAAGAGAGACAGGTCGAAAGCTAAAACGTCTCCGAACCGACAATGGAGGTGAGTACACTTCAAGAGAATTTGAAGAGTACTGTTCAAACCATGGAATCAGACATGAAAAGACAGTTCCTGGAACCCCATAACACAATGGTGTAGCTGAGAGTATGAATCGCACCATTGTTGAGAAGGTAAGAAGCATGCTCAGAATGGCTAAATTACCCAAGACATTCTGGGGTGAAGCAGTTCGGACAGCGTGTTATCTTATCAATTGTAATCCATTAGTTCCGTTGGAGTTTGACATTCCGAAGAGAGTTTGGACTAACAAAGAGTTGTCTTACTCGCACCTAAAGGTGTTCGGTTGCAAAGCTTTTGCACATGTACCGAAGGAGCAAAGAACCAAGCTAGATGATAAATCAGTTCCTTGCATATTCATCTGATATGGAGATGAAGAGTTCGGGTACAGACTATGGGATCTTGTAAAGAAGAAGGTCATCAGAAGTAGAGATGTAATCTTTCGAGAAAGTGAAGATGGAACTGCTGATGATCTATCCGAGAAGGCCAATAAAAAGAATGGTATAGTTCCTAGTCTTGTTACCATTCCTTCTTCTTATAACCATCCCATAAGTGCAGAAAGTATGATTGATGAAGTTGCTGAGCATGAAGAGCAACCTGATGAGATTGTCGAGCAGGGGGAGCAACTTTATGATAATACCGAGCAAATGGAGTACCTAAAAGAAGAACAATCTCAACCTCTGAGGATATCAGAAAGACAAAGGGTGGAATCAACCAAATACCCTTCCTCAGAGTATGTCCTTATCAATGATGAAAGTGAGCCAGAAAGTCTTAAGGAGGTGTTGTCTCATACAGAAAAGAGCCAATGGATGAAAGCCATGCACGAAGAGATGCGATCTCTACAGAAAAATGGCACATACCAGCTAGTTGAACTTCCAAAAGGAAAAAGACCACTTAAGTGCAAGTGGGTCTTTAAACTCAAGAAAGATGGAAATGGCAAGTTTGTGAGGTACAAAGCTCGATTGGTTGTAAAAGGCTTCGAACAAAAGAAAGGTATTGATTTTGATGAAATTTTTTCACCTGTTGTCAAAATGACTTCTATTCAAACTATTTTGAGCATAGCAGCTAGTCTAGATCTTGAAGTGGATCAATTGGACGTGAAAACTGCATTTCTTCGCGGAGATTTCGAAGAAGAGATTTATATGGAGCAACCAGAGGGATTTGAAGTATCTGGAAAGAAACACATGGTGTGCAAATTGAATAAGAGTCTTTATGGGTTGAAACAGGCCCCAAGGCAATGGTACAAAAAGTTTGACTCTTTCATGAAAAGTCAAACGTACACAAAGACCTATTCTGATCCACGTGTATACTTCAAAAGATTTTCTAACAATAATTTTATTATTTTGTTGTTATATGTGGATGACATGTTAATTGTAGGACAAGAAAAAGAGCTGATTGCAAAATTGAAGAAAGATTTGTCCAAGTCATTTGACATGAAAGACTTGGGCCCAGCACAACAAATTCTAGGGATGAAGATTGTTCGAGAACGAACAAAAAGAAAGTTGTGGCTTTCTCAAGAGAAGTACATTGAACGTGTATTAGAACGCTTCAACATGAAGAGTACTAGACCTGTTAGCACGCCTCTTGCGAGTCATCTGAAGTTGAGCAAACAGATGTGTCCTACAACAAAAGAGGAGAAAGAGGGAATGGCTAAAGTTCCTTATTCTTCAGCAGTGGGGAGTTTGATGTATGCGATGGTGTGTACAAGACCTGATATTGCTCATGCAGTTTGTGTTGTTAGCAGATTCCTTGAAAATACTGGAAAAGAACACTGGGAGGCAGTTAAGTGGATACTCAGGTATCTAAGAGGTACCACAAGAGATTGCTTGTATTTTAAAGGATCTGATCCAATCTTGAAGGGCTATACTGATGCTGATATGGCAGGTGACCTCGATAATAGAAAATCCACTACTGTATATTTGTTTACATTTTCAGGGGGAGCTATATCATGGCAATCAAAGTTGCAAAAGTGTGTCGCACTCTCTACAACTGAGGCAGAATATATTGCAGCTACTGAAGCTGGCAAAAAGATGGTATGGCTGAAACGATTTCTTCAAGAACTTGGATTGCATCAGATTGAGTATGTCGTCTATTGTGACAGTCAGAGTGCAATAGACTTGAGCAAGAACACCATGTACCATGCAAGGACGAAGCATATTGACGTGAGATATCACTGGATTCGTGAAAAGATAGAGGATGGATCTATGCAGGTCATGAATATCCCTACTAGTGAAAACCCTTTAGATATGCTGACCAAGGTGGTATCAAGGGACAAGTTTGAGCTATGCAAAGAACTTGTCGGCATGTACTCAAGCTAGAAACCTAGAGCAACCTCCTTCAGGGTGAATGGGTTTGGAGGGGGAGATTTGTGGAGTCCATACCCATTGTGGATAAACATAGCTAAAATGGTTGAATTTTGTTTGTTGATTATTGTTAAAGTCAACAAATGTGGCAACAAAAATTCAAAGCTCACCATTTCTTTTTTTCAACTAAAATCTTAGCAAAATTTCTACATAGGTGAAAATGTTGAAATCTTGTGTTTCTTGTGATGTCATTGGTGACATCATTAGGAGTAGATTTTCCTATAAATAGAGAGCTCTTGCTCATTTCAAAATACACCAAAAAAGAATTACAAAGGAGAGAAACGAAGAGTGAGGCATCACAGAAGAAAATAATTTGTGAGAAAAAATAGAGAGTGTGAACGGTATTGTAGTGAGGTGGAAAAATCAAAAGAGTGTTATTTCTTTTGAATGTGTAGTGGTCTTTGGAGTTTTACTCAGACATACAAGTGTAAAATCCTTATTACAGTGATATTTGTTGCTCCCCCCGAGTCGTGGTTTTCCCCTTATTTAGGAGGGTTTCCACGTAAAATCTTGGTGTCATTATTTCTCTTTTATTCTCGTTGATTAACCGCATTGTTGTGTTCCGCATTAATTGCTTTTATTACTGCAAATATTATTTCTGTTACGGATTTATTCCCAACAATATTATAACGAAATAATATTATCCACTTTGTATGGTACTCGCATTGAACCCCGATTCGCATCGATGTTGTTATTATTATTAGTAGTATTATCGTTGTTGTTTTATGCAGTAAGAGTAGACATTGATAAGGAATATCCATTTATTCATAATATGCTTCAAGTATCAAGAAGTTGTTGCTTGCTCCTCTCAGTGACTCGAGTTTTAGTTCTTTTTGGTTAGCACCAAATTGTTCTTCACCTTCACTATGGTTATCTCAGATACTTCTTACGGTATCATTCCTCCATATCTCTAGATTGTAGCTGTAGTTCATTCATACTAAAAAATAATAATTCTATCTCTATGCAATGGATACTAGTTACTACCTATCTGTTTGCATTAAAATTGTTGAACTGATCAAATTCTTTTAATTATTTTTCACTGCAGGGAATATAATGGCGTTGCTTATTGCTGTTGCTATAGTTTTTTGTTGTCAAAGTCAGCTGACCGCTGAAACACCTAATGTTGTTGTTTCTCAATATGGGACCGTAGATTTCACGACTATTGCTGGAGCAATACGAGCAGCCCCGAATAAGAGTGTCCAACCATTCTATATCAAGATTAAACAAGGCATATATCGGGAATACATTCGAGTTTATAAAGAAAAGACTAATATAGTATTGATTGGAGAGGGAATGGGTACTACAATAATAACGGGTAATAGAAGTTTCAATAAAGGCAATAAAATTGATGACACTGCAATAGTGGGTAAGTCTCTCTATGTACTTGGGGATTTGATTGATTTGTTGAATTGTAATTCTTTGTTCTTAATTTGTTTGTAGGGGTTTTTGGAAGTGGCTTCACAACCTAAGACATCACCTTTAGGAATGATGCTTGACCCGGAAAGTATCAAGCAATGGAATTAATAGTAGAAGCAGATTTGGTTTCTTTCTATCGATGTCGCTTTGATGGGTATCAAGATACTCTATATGCCAAAATGAACAATCAATTTTATCGTGATTGTGAAATCTATGGCACGATAGACTTCATTTGCGGTAACGCAAAAGCCCTATTCCAAAACTGCTTAATTAAAGCACATATTCCATTGGCCATGCAGTAAAACACAATTATAGCACAAAAGAGAGAGTTTGGGAAAGATGCAACTGGAATAGTGCTCCGAAATTGCACTATAAAGGCTAGCCAAAATTTGGAGAAAATGGATAACGTCATCACCTATTTAGGTCGACCATGGGGTATATTCTCTAGGACAGTGGTCATGGAAAGTTTCATTGACCACTTGATAAGTCCTAGAAGATGGATTGAACCTAGAAAAAAATCCATTGGTCATCGTCATCCGTATTTTCTGGAGTACAAAAATAGAGGACCAGGTGCTGCTACCCAGAAACGTGTGACATGGGCATCCCACACAATGAATCCGAACATTGCATCAACTTTCACAGTTAGGAATTTTATAAATGGTGACAAGTGGATTCCTGCCAATATCCCTTATTATTCAGACTTTTCTTAAACAATATTAAGGTTGTTTTCGTTCTACTTATCATATTACAAAAATAGTCAGTACATGTACCTATCTTGTTGCATCAAATTTTCTTGGTACATGTTTCAGATAAACAAGAAATAACAATGTGTTTTATGAAGGAAGAAACTATTTGACTGCTTAGAACTTCTTTCCCATACTCTGTTTCCCCCATTCTGCTTTAATTTGTACCTTAAGTAACCTTTTCCCCTGTTTATTAACCATCAAGAATTCTGATAGTACAAACTAATTTGGATTCGCAACTAGCGTAATTATATATCTCCACTGAGCCTGGAGGGATCTTCATACACATGACTTGATACCTTTGATTAGTAATAGAATGATCCTTATTGATGGAGCTAAGTATAGGAATAACTCATGAGTTGATCTTAAATTTTTAACGCTAGAAAATCAACTTTATATCAAACAGGTACAAGATCTTTAAGAGTGTGGAATATAAATTTTAAGATAGTTTGATGCAAAATATAAACTGTTAAGAAATAAGATGTATAAAGAACAACATAGATGCGAATAATCGAGAAAGGAATCTGGAAACACAATTAGTGACACACAATGCAACGTGGAAACCTAAGTCGAGCAAAACCACGAGTAACGACGAGCAAATTCACTATGTTGAAGGTAGAGTACAATTCCAAGTTCTCCAAAACTCCAAAAAAAAATGAGGAAAAGAAAAAAGACAACTAAATTATTTTGTTTTTCTGACACAAAAAATAGAAAGTTCCCAGAAAAATAGGCTCTAGTATCTGGCACAAAGAAATAGAAAATGCCCAAAAAAATAGGCTCTATTTTCAATGAAAACTGGTGTGCATTTACTGCACCATAATCCCTTGATTTAGCAAAAACTATCAATATTTGTGTCACGATCCGACTTTCTAAGTAATAATGACACCTACTATAACCCAAAACAGTAGGTAAGTCAATCCATACCCAGGATGACAAGTAATGAGTACAAGGGCAGAACTAACTAAAAAATAACACTAACATTAAGAAAATATAGAAATAGAAGTAAAAAAAAAACAATAGAAACCGTTCCAGAATCTTGAAGTAACGAATACAAAGTTGTCTAATATGAAAAAAATACAAGTACCAAAAGTAGAAGACAACAAGTTATATCAAAGGAAAATGACCAACAAACATACATACAGATGGATACAGGATTATCTAAGACGCCAAGTGCTCACCGTTGTCTTAAATAATTAAAACCTACAAAAGATGGCACGAGCGATCACCACCAATAGTTTGTACTAGAACCTGCATCATAAAAAAATTCAAAGTGTAGCATGAATACCAAAGCAAAGGTACTCAATTGACATCATATGCCAACTGAGCAAAGAAAGCTAAAACACAATTAGAAAATATAGACTCTAGACACAAAAAAAGGTCCAAAAAGATAAAAAACGCACATGTGCATACCAAAAGTAAATCTAAGTACAAGTAAACTAAACATAATAGGACCCAGTAAATCCCAAAGGTATTCTCGCGTGCAAGTGTAAAAAATCCCGAATAGACCCCATAAGCAATACAGATACATAACAAGTAGGACTATAAGAGTAAAGTGTCTCAATCCACCTCCTATAATTGTACTCTAAGCCTCGAACCCTATGTGATGGCCCTAACTAGAGGTGACAACCTCGAATACTAAAACATCAAACTTGGAATGGGAATAACGGTCTCGTAACATTAATATCAGCCTCGGAGAGGACATAACAACCTTGAAACATAAACATCGGCCTCGAACAGAAAATAGTTATAGTGTCCAATAAGATCCTAGCCTAGGTAGAAAGAGTGACAACAAGGCATGTTGACTCTGAAGAGGATTCCAACATCAAGACTAAGTCATTATGGAACGACATCCACCAACAAGCATCAATAGAGGTCTTCAAGTCTAGGACAATCCAATTCCAAGTCATCGCAAAAACACAAAACTTTTGATAACGCATCGGAGCCAAAGAGTTAGGGAGAGAAGAAAGAAAGTCTATAAAGCTGCAAAATTGCCAAAAGTAAGGCTCATACTACCTGACTAAACTCTACTATTCTAGTCTAAAAGGATTTAGTCCATCCACATTGACGTAGGAGGCAATAATAAGGCTTGTGATTCTAACACTAGTCTACCAAGACTAAGGCAAAAAATGCTCTAAATAACATGCAACAATGACAGTAATTCACAACAACATACATAAAACCCAACCTAGCATGGTACTACCTCGAAACCATGGTGATCAATCCTAAGACATGGTTCCTAAGATAGAAAGCAAGAATAACTAGCTACCTGCCTCCAATTCATACTAATAATCATGAATTTACACATTCAAGCTCAGTCAATTTAAATGGGAATGCGTAAGTTACATGTAGGCTGGTCATACAAAGTAAAAATCACAATGCCAAAGTTTTTACTTCTCAATGACCTCCAAACACTGCTAGACTATAAAAAAATAAGATCACAACACCGATATAGTCGTTTGGACAAAAAAGACCTTTTAAACTGAAATGGACCGATGTTGGAGTAAAATGAAAATCGTGGGACTCGCACTAGAATTTATAGAATTGACTTTGTATAAAGATACTAAAATATGCATGTAATTGTGTTCCAAAATTGAACACAATCCCATGTCCGAATCAATGAACACACTTGCAAGAGTTTACAAATTAAGAAGAAAAAAAAAAGAGGGATATGTGAAATTACTTTTTGAAAATAAGAACTCAAGCTGTAAATTAGCTATATAAAAAGTAGATATCTGGTCGCTAAAAACCTATTTTAGGTAGCTAAAAGTATAATGTATGGTCGCTAACAATCTAAGGAAGATATCACCACATCCCATGGTTTACGTAAACTCTGAATTCTCTGACGAGGTGTCCAGAACTCATTCTGAAACCCGTACACAAAAAATGAGATATGCAATCGAACCAAATTTGAAATTCAACTGAGCAGTCAAAATTCTCATATAAGATCATCTCGACAAAAGTGGGCCCCACCCCAAACTCCAGTTTAAGCCAGAATCTACAAGAGGCACATAACTAGTTCAAAGCATTGATATCCAAATAGAGGATTGTTTTACACCAAACTCAACACTCTAGAATATTGGTTAAAGTCAATATTAGGCCTTTACTTGAATGTTAAAATGTCTAATCACACAAAATCACACTAAAAGCCTCAAGAGTTCTGACGACCATACGACTAGCCTAAAATGACCTTTCAAAAATGGAGGAAACCATCAGAATTTGATTTTGAGGTCATCTTAATGAACTTTCAATCAAAACTAACAGTTTAAGATTCAGAAGCTCCTAAAACACTAAAATTTACAAAAAATCCAAACAAATGACCAAGTGGCCAAACTGTTAGTCCCAACAAGTCATAAATGATTTAGGGTCACTATATGAATGATCTAAATGATGAAAAGGAGGCGTAAGAACATACATGACTTTGTTTCATGGGTTTGGGATATGTGGAATCAAACCAACCAATTGGAGAGCAATAACACCTCATATATAAGGCCTCAAATTGGGTCATGTGAATGCTATATTGGTAGCAGTTATTGTACGCAAACTTCACAAAAGATAAGAATTGCTCCCACTGGCGATAAACTACACAACACAAGCCCAGAACATATCCTTAAAACATGAATAATATGCTCTAACTGAATATATTTGCTGGTGAAAGGTTCTTCTAAGGTCAATGGGAGTGCTAAACTCCTCGTAAAAGGTCCTTCGAAATATAGAAGTGTGCACCTCAATATAATATAATAGAGACCATCATGCCATGCAGATAACCAACCTTTCGAACATAAATATGGCTAACCTCTCAGCACTGAATAAAAATGGTACTTGGAGGAAGTGTGCTAACTTGGTCAATCGATCAACGATGAACCAAATATTGTCAACACATTTATAAGTCTAAAGCAAATCTACCACAATGACTAGAGTTATATAATCCACCTTTTACTCCCTACAGTGTAATATCTGAAACTCACCACCATGTTTTTAGTGCTCGTCCTTCACCTACTGGTAACTCAAAAAACGGGACACATAATATATAATACCTTATCTCATTCTGCCCCACTAGTAATGCTACCTCAATTAAGGATTCATTTTCATGGTGCTCGAATAGATAGTCTATAGAATCATGGGCCTTATGAAGTATCAGCTAGATCAAAACCCCAACTGTAGGCACACAAATACAACCTGAAAACCTTAAAATCCTATCAGAATATAAGGTAGTCTGACTGGCATCACCGGATAACACCCGATATCAAAGTTCCACCAAGGTATTATCCTAAAAATGACGGTTACAGATTTGATCAAGTAAAGAGGACTGAACTCCCACATAGGCTAAAACACACCTAGAATCTAAAATATCCAAATAGATCACCTTATTATCTAAGGAATGAAAGTTCACTCCACGGTAGAGAAGGCTAGACTACCCACACTCACGACCTTTTAAATCAAGGCATCTGCTACCACATTCTTCTTGCTTGGATGATAGAAAAAAGAGATTCATAGTCCTTTAGAAGGTCAATCCACTAACATTTTCCTGAATTAAGATCCATCTACATGATAATATACTTAAGATTCTGGTGCTAAGTTTAGATCTCACAACGAACCCCAACGGGTAGTGCCTAACTCTGAGTCATGAGTGGGGTATTTTCTCTCATGTATCCTAAGCTGCATTGGTGCATAAGTAATAAACCAGACTGACTGCATTGATACATAACCTAAACTTACATCAGATGTGTAACAATAGTTTATGAAACACTCACCCTCAACTTTAATGAATAAATATATTAGTGGTAGTCAGAAACTTCTTGAGCTTCTAAAAGCTCAGGTCAGACTCCATTGACTACACAAAAGGAACATCCAGGAGAGAGAACTGGGTCAAAAGTATTGCAATAGTGGAGAAGCCTTCCACAAACCATTTGTATTAACCTACTAATCTAATGAAACTCCGAATCTCTTTAACTAAAGTGGGCCTAACC